GGTCCGCTTTCGAGGTGTTTTTGGCTTGAAGCGTGGTGAGAGATTGTCAGAAGCAACATGCAAAGATTCAATCTCCTGAAAAGACTGCGAGCCATTGGACAAAGGCTACGGCTTGGCACGACCAACGGCAGAAACCTTTTACTAGGCTTTAGACACATTAGACACATCACGAAACATCCCCTTGCTCGGTCTATGCTCCTCCAAAATCAGATTTTCTTGATCGCAGGTGTTGGGCGACACTTTGGCTTCCGCCCATCCGCTGCACCAGAGCGACGTCTTGGACATGGGCCAAGTGCGGATCCGCCTTGCCAAGGCGGAACACCCTTCAAACAGCATATGCCAGGTTGTTCCAAGTCACGATACTTTGAAAGGTCTACTGTCAATAATTGTGTTAAAAACAGTTTGTTGTTAACTTGCACATCCTTTGAAAACCATGGTCCCCTAGAGTTAGACTCAGGACAAGGGACTTGGCAACTTTGTTAAATTAATGCACTTGGGGCCTATTCTGCAATATGTCTGTGGCAATGGCTTGACTTAATGATGCATTCAGGTCTCTCCATTGATAGGAGCAGGCACGTGCTGCTGAGTGGGTGAATGTCGAACATTTTTTTCTGGGAAATTGTTTTTGTTTGAATGCTTCTCTTTGCTGGCGACAGATGATGAAACGGCTCTGGCTATGTTCGTTGGTGATGTAGTGTCTCGGCACAGCACCAAGGTGCCTTAGTTTCGGAGGTTCGCCCACTTTCAACGCTTGCTTAGTTAATGTGTGCACACGCGCTCCACGGTCAGCTGCCACCTAAGGACCATTCTGTGCCAAATGTGGTGCGACGTCCGCTGTTGATCCCACCTGCCTAACGGCAAAGTTCCTGAATCGAACAACCAGTTCCGTACTCCACGAACCATTTCACAGCTGCTGTTTCAGACTTATCCGAGTATGTTTGGTGATGTTGGATTTGTTTGGCGACAAACACGATGCGTTCAAAAGCCTTCCAAAGGTCACAAGGAGACATTGCAGCTGTGCTGTAAGCAATTGAACTCACTGTTCCGTGAAGATGGTGCAGGGAGATGCAAGATCCTTTTTGAAAAGTGTTCCCAGCTGCAAAGTGGCTCTCCTTTTTCAAGCAGGGAAGACTTTTCATGAATTCATGTTCCATTGCAAATTCCCGAAGGAGAACATTGCCCTGTTTTATACTGCGCCATTTGACACCTGCTTTGCCTAGTGCTGAAGGATCAGTGGTGTCAAATCTTTGCAAATGCACCCAACTTTGCCCCTGATGGGGTTGCTGTTGGATGGCAGGCACAAAAGGAGCTCTTGAAAAGGGTGTTTGAGAGTTGCCCTGCCCTACTGATTGCTGCCCACCTGCAAACAACAGGAATCCTCCTATTCCGAATAGTACTTTCAGTGGATCCACTGTTTGTAGATCTCACAAATGGTTTTTTCAGTCAGAGTAGACCACACTCAATAGGACTCTTGTACCAAAATGTGGTAACTTCTTGTGGTTGCATGATCGGAAGGCTAGAGTCCGTTGATTCCAAGGTTGCCATGGCTAGCAGAGGCTCCATGGCCAGAGCTTCGGTCTTCAGCAGCAAGTCGAAGGCGCCTGGTTTGGGTCTGGCTGGCAGGGTCAAAACTGCTAGCCACTGTCATTCCCTAAGAGAAGGTGAAGCCAAAATTCTTGAAATGACTTGATGTTTGAGGCGTTTGTGAAGGTCTGTGGAATACTGGATCACTTTTGTTGACTTGGCAAGTAGAAAAGCAACCAAAGAGTTCCAATCAACCGGGCAGGCTTCTGGCGTACTTTCACCACAAAGCTCCACTTTGGCACGCAAATCAATGAGATCCAAATCAGGACGAACAGACAAACGAAGCAGGTCTGGACAGGTCTTGATCGGTTGTAGTACTGATGGATTTGGAGTATCTGGCAAGTATTTGGCCACAAGTGATGGTTCATGATTTGTGCCTGGCTCTGTGGAGGTGCAGGCTGCCTAGACCAAAAGGGGAAGTTAGTGTCAAACAAAATGCTTGAACATCAACATGCAAAGATTGAGAAGTGCATTTGGCTCCGAGCATAATTTCAGATTGATGTTTTGCTGAGAAGGTCCCAGAGCTTCTTGCAGATCCAGTTTTGCTCTATTCTTGCCTTTCATCCTTTTTTTGCTCAGCGTGTGGTGCAGGAACAAAAGACTCAGGTCGTTCTGGCGGTGACTCAAAGGCCGTGTTGAGATACATCCCGCGCACCCGTTTTCGAGGGTTCCGTTTTAGTCCGCGCACCTGTTTTCAAAGGTTCCAGTTCAGCCCGCGCACCGAAAAAAACATACAATGCAATCATTAAGCCTTGATTTGCTAAGTTTCTCCCAACCCAGCTTTTCCTGTGTGAGGCGTCGAGCTCCATGGGGGATGACTACTTGATTCGCGAAGGATCAAATTCCTCAGACAAGCGGGCAGCTCAGAAATGCTTTTTCTGCACTGAATGCTTTTCCTCATTGGTCCTGCAGGTTCATTGTGGGAGTCATTGGTGCAACGCTGATGATTGTACAGGCTTGGTTTGAGACTGCTTGAAATCCCATGTCAACTGCAGGAGATGTATGAATTTTCACACAAAGAAACATCTCTTTAGCAAAGCCAAGTGGATTACCCACAGAACAGGTGGTGGCGCTCATCGCAGGGCTTACTTCGTGGCTAAAGGTCACGCAACATCCCCAGACTCTGGCACCCAAATTGAAAGGAAGGATTCGAAAGAAAGGATTCAACGTCAACACGAAATGTCATTGAGATCCGGAGATTGAAATTCGACAAGAGTCGTGTCACTAGTCGCTATTGATTTATCGGTGGCGGCGTTACAGACACACACACACAGAAATGTGCATTCTTGATGGCAATCTTTCAAACCTCACCTTACAACCTGCCAAGGAACAAAGAGCTTGCCAATCCCTCAAATGTTCATTTTATCATTGATCAACAATATTATATTGTTCAATATAACCAACCAATTGCATTGCAATTGTTGCATAATACTGAGGAACAACAACTCATTGAAGCCAATCTCATCTAAAAACAATTCAATCAATATATTCATAAATATATAATCAATATTATCTTTTATATTTTAATATATAATATAATTGAATATATAATATAAACATAAATATAAAATACATTAAACAATATAAATTTGAATATTTAGATTTATATTAATATGAATAAATGAAAAAAATATATATATATATAACGAATTTATGTTTTTAGGATTAGATATATTAATTTGGCAAATTTGGCTAATTTAATTATAAATTTTTATTAAACAAATATAGATTAAAATAAACAATAAAATTTGGACATAATATTTATTTTTAATTTATCGATTATTTTTTCTTTTAGATATTAATATTATATATTCGGAATTATATAATCGAAATATTAATATAATAAAATCGGGATATTATTATATATATTTATAATATATTTGGGATATAAAAATATTATATAAACTTTAATATGATCGAATTATTATTATAATGTGATTGAGATATTATTATAATAGAGATATTGTTATAATATGATTGGGATATTGTTAAAATATAATTGGAATATTAATATAAATTTGATCGAGATATTTTTATAATACGATTGGGAAATTATATGACACGAACGAAATACTATTATAATAATAACGAAATAATCGCAATATAATATTATTTAATACGACCGAGATATTGTTGTTATATGACACGGTTACTAGAATTATATAATTGGGACATAATAAAATAAAATCGGAATATTACTAAAATATGATTGTATAATAATTGATAACCAATAGGTTCCGAAGCCAAAAATCATAGACTAAATTAATCCCTGGTTCTTTATATAGTGGAAATTATCATCTATTGGGTAAAATAAACTATTGATAAATAACCCAACCTATCGAATACAAAATTTCCTACGATTCTTCAAAACCAAATCCCATTATTTATGCATGTATAGTATGGGACAAATACTAAATGCAAAAACCATGCATTTTAAAAGCAAAAACCTCCCAATTGCGGCGTTGATCTAGACCTCGCCACATATTTTCCCACCCCCCTCAATCATTCAAATCGAAAAAGATCGGACCCATTCCCTGTCTAATTACTAAATTGACATATAAAATAATTTCTATTGTAAAATTCACGCTGTGCACTTAGGGTTGCAACTTTTCGAATTGTTTCATGCCCCGACGCTTTCATTCACTCGAGCACCGGGTGGGCGTTCGCCTTGAAAAAAGGTGCGGCCGTGTCGCTTTTCGAACGACCTCGATTTCGACTTGTTCACGGACCTCGAGCGCCGTGCTACCTTTTTCGTATTGGTAGCGGAGCCTCCTCCGGGGGGCTCCGAATCCTTTGCGCGAAGAAGAACGAGGTTCTGCATAAATCCTTTGTCATGAACCCTTGGCCGAGCTCTTTTGTTTCCTCGTGGAAGAGCCCTATCGGTCTTGGCTACCTGATTGAGAATGCCACCAACGACATCGGCTGCAGAGAGCTCCAAGGATGGAGACTACCTCAACCTGCGCGACTCCTTCGTTCCACTTTTCAGTGGCCAACCCCAGGACTACAAAGAGTATAGAAAGAGGCTGATGCTCTACCACCACAAGATGAAGATCAGCAAGCGCACGGCCGAATCTGTCCTGATCATCCTGGGAAGTTTTCAGGGTGTGGTTTGGCGGTTGTTTGAGGACTTCTCAGTCGAACAGGCTGAGAAGGAAGATGGCTTTGGAAAGATCATCACCAAGTTCGACAAGAACTTCGAGTACGATGATTGAGTGCTCCTTCCGAACGACTTTGAGGAGTACTTCAACTTGTTGCAACGAAAGCCTCAACAAAGCCTCCTGTCCTTTGTCACGGACCACGACACCGCCTACCGTCGTCTGACCGCTCACAACGTGATCCTTCCTGGTCAGGTTCAAGGATGGCATCTACTCCGACGTGATGCTTTGGCAAAGGAGCAACGCCAGATGGTGACACTGAAAGCTCCCACGTTGGAAAAGACCCCAGTCATCGAGGCCCTGTACCTGCTGTTCGGTCAGGACTACAAAGCTGGCGGCTGGAACGCCGAACGTGATCGCAAGTTCAACCGCTGGAAGGGCCGCGGCTACGCTGCCTTCGATGACGAAGATGCCTACTGGTCCGAACAACCCTGGCTTGAAGAGGCCTACTATGAGGCCGACGACTGGTATGATGACACCGCCCCTGACGATGAGGCTGACTTCGACTATGACGCCATCTACTACGGCCAAGAGGATGACAAGAGTTGGCAGAAGAGTATGACCACGCCTATGCCACCTATTTGGATGCCCGGCAAAGATTCCAGCAACTCAAATTGGCTCGTGGCTACCTGCCGATTGTCGCCCTCACTGATGGCCAGAACACTTCAGCCGCCTCTGGATCCTCTTCACCTTCGAAGGGAGCTGGCAAGAACAAAGGAAAGGGCAAGAACAAAAGCAAAGGAAAAGGAAAGAATGTGGTGCGCTATCCCTCCTCCTCCGGGGGGAAGTCAGATCCAAAAGGTCGCGCAAAGGCAACTACATGTCTTCGTTGTGGCCAACCAGGTCATTGGGCAGCACAATGTCCACAAAGTGCGCAGAAGGCATGACCTTGCAGAATGAGGCCGCCTTGGTCCTGTTCCAGGATGAGATGGGCACAGATCGACCTGACGCCACCATGTTGGACCCAGGTGCATCGGCTTTCCTGGGCGGCTATGGTCCCTTTGGACGCTCCCTGAGTCAGCTCCACTCCATGAACTACCCCATCAACACCATCCGCTTTGCACGATGCGACCGCCAATTCCATTTTGGCGGCGATGCTTCTTCACGAGCATCATG